TACTCTGTCACATAGGGTCACTATGAGTTGGAATCAACTCAGTGGCACACAACTACAGCAAACCACTGGATGCCAGTAGCACCCCTTCCCCAGTCGGGACAATAAAAATGTCTACAGGCATTGCCAGATGTCCCTGGATGGTAAAGTCATGACTGGCTGAGAACCACTGACCTACTTTATTTAACCTCTCTAAACCTCAGATATTTTATCTGTAAAAATGAGACCTAGATGACCATTCTAAACTCCTTCCATGTATAATATTCTCTGACCTCTATGTAATTAGTTTCACTATAGTGAAACTCTTTTCTCAAAGGTAACTGCTACCCAAATCACTAAATTCAATGGTCTTTCTCAGTTCCAGTCTTAATCTCTCAGAAGTGTCTGACATTGTTAGGTACGACTTCCTTAAATTCCTTTTATGACAGCAGGTTGTTAAGACGTCCTCTTGACGTTCTTTCCTCCTTTGGTTTCTATGACATACTCTCTGGGTTCTCCTCTCTCATGCAATTTCACAAATTCAAGAATCAGATGCATTCAAACTTCACCAATCTAATCAGTACTGTTAGTGACCCAAACTGTCACCTTACATAATATTCCGGCTATCAGATCATATGATTTCAGGATGTCTACACTTACTTAGGAGCCTTGGTGGCACAGTGGTTAAGAGCTTGGCTGCTAACCAAAAGGTCAGCAGTTCAAATCCACCAGCAGCTCCTTGGAAACCCTATGAGGCAGTTCTACTCTGTCCTATAGGGTCATTATGAGTCGGAAGCAACAAGACTGACTTAAGGAGCCCTGGTGGCACAGTGCCTAAGTGCTGGGCTGCAAACTGAAAGGTCAGTGATTTGAACCCACCAGCCGCTCCACAGGAAAAAAGACCTGGTGATCTGCTCCTGTAGAATTACAGCCTAGGAAATCCTATGGGGCAGTTCTACTCTGTCACGTGGGTTCACTATGACAACTCAACAGCAACTAACAACACACTTACTTGTAATTTGCTATAGAAATGAATACATAAGAAAAAGAGTGCCAGCATTTTGTTCAGAACTCATACAAATTTTAAAGGACAATATCAGTTTTTTTTTTGTCTTTTGATGCTCTAATAATCTTAATCAAATGTTATAAGCTTTCATTGGTTCCCTCCCTAACTCTGCTTCTTACGTTCTAATCTTGATTCAAGATGCAGTTTCTGCTGAAAATAAAAAGTATATTCAAAATAAAATACAAACACTTAAACTTACAATTAAATGTGAGAGGTATATATAAAAGTTTTGGAACCAGATAGCTGGTTTTAAATCTAATTTTACTATGTCTTGGTGGATTTGGCAGTGTAACTTTGGGCAAGTAACTATATTTTTCTAAGCCTCAATTTGGTCAGTGAAATGGGGATAATAACATTATGCACCTCATGGGGTTGTAGTGATTAAAATAATGCATATAACATACTTAGCACACAGAAAGGAGTCAGTAATGTTGGTGATTACTATTATAGCTATTATCTTGGAGGTTATGACATTATCTTTAACTATTCCCATCTGTATCATCCTGAACCACTTTATTTCTATTACAGTACCACTCAACCCACATCAGTCTTTCTTCTTTTCTTTAACT